ACACACACACACACACACACACACACACACACACACACACACTGGGGCTGTCTTTTTCTGCCACACACACACACACTGGGGCTGTCTGTTTATCTGCCACACACACACACACACACACACAGAAATTGGGGCTGTCTGTTTATCTGCCACATCTGACATTTCTTTGGGGGCTAAGCAAACTGTTTCCTCATCACTTTTTAAGTGAAAATGTACACTCTATTGTCCTTTTGGCTCCCCCCCCCCCGAATGTCTTCATCTCCCTGGCATTTGTCTTTTTCTTTGTGTTCTATTTAGGTTCCAGATGTGGAATCTCGTGAAGACTTAATTAAAAATCATTACATGGCAAGGATAGTAGAGCTTACATCACAGCTGCAGCTGGCTGACAGCAAGTCAGTGCATTTCTATGCTGAGGTGAGTGGGGGGGCAGTTCAGCTGTTACTTTCCCTGCCCTTCAGGAACTGGGCCACTTTCCTCTTGCCCTGTTGTCCACTGATAGACACTTGTGTCTGTTTGCTCTTGGTGTCTGTTGGTTGCTGTTCACAGTGATCAGTCTGCGTTCCACCCAGAAATGTCCAGTTCAATAGCTGTAAGACTGGCTTGTCATTTCCAAGTCATTGCAAAAACATTGGGAGAGTTAGAGGAGTCTTTCTGAAGTTTGCATACCAGGTGCTTGGAGCATTGTTTTTAAGGTTTCTTGCTTTCCAGTTAAGAGATGAGTAGACATTTACAGGGAGAAGGATTTTTAATATAAGCAAGGTAAAAGGCAAAAAAATGCATTTCTAAATACTCTCCATTTTCTAAATGGCAGGTTTGCAGAACTTAATTCCTATATATGATAAAATAAAGTGTGTAACGTTTTGAACAAAAGATATCACATCTTTCTGTTATGCTTTCTTTTTTTCTTACCAAATAATTTGTTCAGAGAATTAGAAAGGCACTATAAATAAAATTATGCACAACTTATAAAATAGTAGAAAGGGGAAAATGAAGGAAGTGCAGACATCAAATAATAAGAATCATTAGACCAAGTACTGCACTATGGCTCAAATTTGTAATCATAGCTACACCGGAGGTAGAAATCTAGAGGATTGCAATTCAAGGCCAGTCTGGGCATCAAAGTTAGCAAGACACTATCTTTCTCAATAAATTGGGTGTGGTAGTTTACACCTGTCATACCAGCTACTGGCTGCCATATGTAGGAGGATCAAGCTCTGAGACTGGCCCTAAGCAAAACCCCCACAAGGTCCTCCCTGAAAATAAGCTAAAAAAAAAAAAAAAAGGCTGAGCCAGGCACCCGTGCTCTGGCCTGTAATCCTAGCCACTCAGGAGGCTGAAATCTGAGGACCACGGTTCCAAGCCAGCCCGGGCAGGAAACTCCATGAGACTCTTATCTCCAATAAAAACCAATAGAAAACTGGAAGTGGCACTGTGGCTCAAGTGGTAGAGTACTTACCTAGAGTTGAAGAGCTGAGAGATGGCGCCCAAGCCCAGAGTTCAAGCTCCACAACCGACCAAAAAAAAAAGGCTGGGACATGCCTTATGTCTACCTAGTAAGCACAAGATCTTGCCTTGAAATCCCAGTACCACAAGAGGTAAAATGACTGCGTTAGAATGGGTTCTGTTCAGCTTGCAAGGTCTTCAGGGTTATAGATTTGAAACTTTATATTAAAGGTTAGTTAAAGATGGCAGACAGATGTGATGCTTAAAATTGAAAAAGAAAAAAGAATGACACCCTTTGTTGCAGCCTGACTATCTGCGATTGTCTCTTGCACTTCGTGGTGGAGAGGGCAACAGGAGCCATTTGCTAGCAGTGGGGAAGGGCTTTGTCTCTTTCCTGCTAAAATAAATGATGTGCCTAGCGCAGGGTGGTTAACCAGCAGCCACAGCATTTGTGCTTGATTCAAGTGATAGGTCCGTGGTTATCCAGGTCATGCAGTGCAGCATGCAATCCATCTCCATTGCTTGCTTGCTTCCCTGATTGATTTCTGGGCCAGTGACCCAGACTTGCGTTGTCTTCATGGGGGCCTTGCTTGACTCTCCCACTTGGTCAGGTGCAGGGCTAACTAAGCACAGAGTAGGTATTTGGTTAATAGGGAATGGTTGATTTGATTGGCTTATGTGCCCTGAAATTGTTTTGAAAAATAAAATGAGTAGCCAGGGAATTTTCAAGAGACTTGCTTATTTTAGTGAATGTATTCAGTCCATCTGTGACACAGGAATTTTGGGATTGCTTAGTTTTTTCTCATTTGTAAACAGGAAGTGGTGACCTCTTGTTTGACTTTACTGGAATGGACAGGCTAAGTGCCTGGTGTGCACACCACGATCACATGAGTCTCGTCAGCACCTTCCCCTTGGTCTCAGTGCCCCTGCAGAAAGTCTGGGGTCTGTTTTATTGCACACTCTCTTTGAACAAGAGTGTGAAATAGAACTTTTTTTTATTTTTCATCTGCTCTGGCTCTGGATGGTTTCCAGAGAAAACAGCTGTGCTGTCCCCTGTAACCTAGAGTGGGATTTATAAAGCTTTTATTGCGCCCATAAGGTGATGTTTAATGAAGGACTTCAAGCACAAGGATTGTGTTGGGCAGGAAAGTGCATGAGACTCTTGTCTCCAATTAGCCAGCAAAACGCTGGAAGTGGAGTAGAGCTTTGGCTCAAGTGGTAGAGTGCCCACCTTGAGAGTGCACACACACACACACACACACACAAAGAAAAGATCTAAGACTCATGGTTAGAAGCCACTGGTAACTTCTTTTTTTCCTGAGAGGAAAAGGTTTTAGCTTGTGCTTTACTTATTTTTTTTAACTTGCCACTTATTTATTTATTTATTTTCATTTTACTTTATTGTTAAAGGTGATATACAGAGGGGTTATAGTTACATAAGTCTGGTAAAGAGTACATTTCTTTTTGAACAGGATCACCTCTTTCCTCATTTTCTCCCAGTTTTTCCTTCCTGACCCCCTCCCCCACAAGATGTATAGTTCAATATAGTGTATAGTGAATATTACTGTTGGATTTGTTCACCCTTTCTCCCACCATTTCTGTGTCCTTCCTTACCCTCCCCCAAACAGATAAACACATACAAAACAAAATGTACAGAAATAAAATCAGTGACAAAAATAAAATCAGTGAAAAAATACAAGAAGCAAAATAATGTTAGACCTCTTCTTGGAGTTCATTTTGATAAATATCATTTTATATGATCATATGCACATAGCTATTGAGCCTTTGTGATCTTCTCCTAAGAATATCCTCACTGTGTGAATTTTTAGAGTCCTGTTTAATTTATCATGTCCAAGTATAGTTTTTTGTGTTTTGGTTTTTTTGTTTGTTTGTTTCTTTTGTCAGTTGTGGGACTTGAACTCTGGGCCTGGGCACTATCCCTCAGCATTTCAGTTCAAGGCAAGCACTCTACCACTTGAGCCACAGCACCACTTCCAGTTTTCTAGTGGATAATTGGAGATAAAAGACTCACTGACTGGGCTGGGAAGGTGGCTCAGTGGTAGAGCGCTTGCCTTGCATGCATGAGGCCCTGGGTTCAATTCCTCAGCACCACATAAGAAAAAAGAAAAAAAGCTGGAAGTGGCGCTGTGGCTCAAGTGGTAGAGCGCTAGCTTTGAGCTGAAGAGCTGAGGGACAGCACCCAGGCCCAGAGTTCAGACCCCAGGACTGGACCCTCCAAAAATAAAAAATAAAAAAGAGTCACTGACTTTCCTCTCTGGGCTGGCTTTGAACAATAATCCTCAGATCTCAGTCTCCTGACTAGGTAGGATTACAGGTGTGAGCCACCAGTGCCTGGCTTAGTTTTTTTTGTTTTTGTTTCTTTGTTTTTTGTCTTTTACCATCCATTATGTTTACTTGTAGATTTATAGGCACATTGTAATTACTACAGATGAGGGAAACCATGCAACCTATGTTTCTTTGGCTGGCTTAGTTTGCTTAATATGATTTTTTCCACATCTTTCCATTTCTTTATGCATGGGTCAATATCTTTCTGATGGAAGCATAGAAATCATATATATATATATATATATCACATTTTCTTGATCCATTCATTCACTGAGGGGCATCTGGTTGATTCCATATTTTGGCTATGGTAAACAATGGTGCACTGAACATGGTTGTTCTGTTGGCTTTAGTGTGGCCTTGTTTGTGGTCTATTGGATAAATGCCCAACAGTGGGATTGCTAGGTCATAGGGAAGCTCTATATTTAGTCTTTTGAGGAACCTCCATGTTGCTTTCCAGAGTGGTTGAACAAATTTACATTCTCACCAACAGTGTAGTAGTTCTCTTTTGGCCACATCCTAACCAGCATCTGTTATTGTTAGTTTTCTTGATATTGCCCATTCTCTCTGGGGTGAGATGGAATCTCAATGTTGTTTTGATTTGCATTTCTTTTGTGGCTAAGAGATATTGGACATTTCTTCATATGTCTATTGGTCATTCTTACTTCTTGTGAGAAGTCTCTCTTTACATCTTTAACCCATTTATTAATTGGGCTGTTGTTTCTTTGAGGGTTTATTTTTGGGAGGTTTAATTTTTTGAGCTCTAAGTATATTTTAGATATGAGCTCTAAGTATATTTAGATATGAGGCCCTTGTCTGATGCATAGCTAGTGAAAAATCTCCCTTTCTGTATGCTTTCTTTTTATCTTGCTAGCTATGTCCTTTGCCATGCAGAAACTCTTCCGTTTGATGCAGTCCCATTTATCCAGTCTTTCTTTGATTTGGATCTTTATTTAGGAAGTTTTAACCTGTGCTTAGGAGCCCTAGTGTTTTCCATCCTGTAATATTTTTATGGTATCTGGCCTTGCATTGAGGTCTTTGATTCATTTAGAATTGATTTTGGTGTAGGGTGATATATAAGGATCGAATTTCAGTTTTCTGCATGTGTATAGTCAATTTTGCCAGCATCATTTATTGAAGAGGCTGTCTTTCCTGTGTTTTTGGCTCCCTTATCAGATATTAGGTGGCTATATGTGTGTGGGTTTATTTCTGGGACTTCTTTTCTGTTCCATTGGTTCTTAGGCCGATTCTTGTGCCAGTACCAAGCTGTTTGTAATAGAGTTTGAAATTTGATATTGATATTCCTCCAGCACTTTTTTTCTGCTAAGGATTGTTTTTGCTATTTGGGGTCTTTTTCCATATGAATTTTTGGATTGCTTTCTCTCTGTCATTGAAAATGCTGTTGGGATTTTGATGGGTATTGCCTTGAGTTTTTAATTATTTCCCAGTGTTACTCCTTTGAATCCAGAAGCATGTAGGTTTTTTTTCTATTTCTTTAATTCTGCTTCAATTTCCTTGTTCAGATTTGTTGTTGGTGGTGGTGGTGGTCATGGAACTTGAGCTCTGGGCCTGGGCGCTGTCCTTGCGCTTTTCAGCTCAAGGCCAAGGCGAGCGCTCTAGAGCTTGTGCCATAGCGTCACTTCCGGTTTTCTAGTGGGTTTTTATTGGCGGTAAAAGTCTCATGGAGTTTCCTGCCCCGGCTGGCTTTGAACAGCGATGCTCAGATCGCAGCCTCCTGAGTGGCTAGGATTACAGGCGTGAGCTACCGGTACCTGGCTCCTTGTTCAGATTTTTAAAGTTTTGATAATAGAGGTCCTTCACATTTTTTGTTAATTCCTAGGTATTTCATATTATTTTTTTTGAGGCTGTTACACATGGAGTTGCTTTCTTGATTTCAGTCTCCATCTTCTTATTGTTGGCATACAGAAAAGCTACTGATTTTGGGCGGTTAATTTTATATCCTGTATTTTGCCAAAGTTTCAGATCAACTCATGTAAATTGGAGGAGGAATCTATAGGGTTCTTTAAATACAGGATCATGACATCTGCAAAGAGGGACAGTTTTACTTTTAACTTGCCTGTTTGGATCTCTGTTATGTTTTTCTCTTTCCTTGTTGCTCTTGTAGGAATTCCAGTACTATATTGAAGAGGAGTGTAGATAGTGGACATCCTTGTCTCATTCCTGATTTTAGAGGAAATGGTTTTGACTTTTCACCATTAAGTATAATACAGGCTGGTTTTTCATCTATAGCCTGTATTATATTGAAGAATGTTCCATGGATTCCTAACTTCTCCAGAACTTTTATCATAAAGGGGTGTTGGAGCTTGTCAAATGATTTTTCTGCATCTATTGAAATGATCCTGTGGTTCTTATCCTCGCTCCTATTGATGTGTTGAATTACATTAATTAACTTACATATAATCAACCAGCTTTGCATCCCTGGAGTGAATCCGGTTTGATTATAATATATGATTTTTTTGTTTGTTTGTTGTTGAATTCAGTTGGCCAGAATTTTATTGAGAAGTTTTGCATCGATGCTATCAAGGAGATGGGTCTGTAGTTATCTTTCTTTGATGAATCTCTCCTAATTGATTTGGGGCTGAGGATTGTGCTGGCTTCATAGAATGAGTTTGGTAGTGACACTGATCACTTTGGAAATGAATATATCCCTTTCATCTGTCTTAAGTACAAATGAATGCTGAGTAAATGGAGAATGTTCTTATGGTTTTGTAACCACTGGTCATTAGAGTAGAACTAGGGAAAAACACTGATGAGCTTGAACTGCTGGACTTTTTTTACTTTACTAAAATGATGAGGTAGGTTCACAGCTTTCTTCTATATAGTACCTATAGGTATTCAAGAAATATTGATGGAATGGATGGATGGATGGCTTTTGCTCTGGGGATCAAATTCTGGTAACTTTCCCTGAAACAGAATTTGTTTTAGACAATGCTGCTTCTACAAGTAGAATTTTTTTCTCACTTACAGTGCCGAGCACTCTCTAAAAGACTAGCGTTAGCTGAGAAGTCTAAGGAGGCACTGACAGAGGAGATGAAAATGGCCAGTCAGAACATCAGCAGACTGCAGGTGAGTTCATGAGTGTTACCTGCACAGGTAGTGTTTTATCATGGGACGTTCTTGGGAAGCAAAGTCAACTTTTCCTTTCAGAAAAGTAGTGCTACCTTGGGATTGTTTCTAACACATTTATAAGATTATTTCTTTGTTGCTTTGTATGGTCCTCCCCCACAGTATAACCCCTGCTTTCACTGTATTTGATGTTGGTATAATTAGTGTAGGGGAAGGGGAAAAACAAATCATTCAAATAGGGATACAGGTGGACCCTGTATGTGGAAAACGAACTTTATATCGAAAACGAACTTTACAACTTTGGTGCGGGGTGGGGGGGCCCTGCGGGGAGGATGGGGGGGCGGGGGGAGAATGGGAAGGGATGGGAAGGGGAAACAAAGGAGGTGGCTACAATGCTTGATAAGAAATGTACTCATTATCTTTGGCAACATATG